GCCCTCGGCTGCCCTGGCCGCCGCTCGGGGTCGGTGACCGCGCCAGCCCGAAAGCTGTCTTGATCACGGCTCGCCCGGGACCTGAGCTCCCGCGGTAAGGGGAGCTGCACTCTCTCGATGCCAAGTCACGTTCCGCGACAGGTCGCTGAATGCGCGTCGCGCGGAGGGTGGGGAAAGAGACGGTGCCAAAAGATTTCGAGAAACATATTCTGTAATTGCAGCAAGTAGGCTCTTGCTGAGACCAAACTTCCTCACCTTTACAGGTTTGGGGTCAGTAGGTGCCAAGGTGCTGCATGTGAATGGCGCGGTGTAGTTGGAAGTGTTGGGTTCGCAGGCGTGTTTGACAGCTGGTGACTGGGCATGTGAACCGCACCTCCCTGGCAGGACATAGCACACTACGCTCCTCCACACGCCAGAAGCTCCCCTCCAGCAGAATTTTACTGCTCAGCTGCAATGGACAAGTCTCTGGGATAAGAATGAAGGAAAGTTGAAGATGAATCAGAGGTTGCTTAAACTGTAGTAAGGACTCTAGTACCTGCAGGTCACAGGCTTAGGTGATTGGCCTGAGGGTTCAGACTCACAACTGGGGCTTAAGGAAGACTTCATTGAGGAGGCTATGCTTGAGGCGGGACTCAAAGATGAACACTTTCAGGGATCAGAGTTGCATGGAGAGGGAATTCCACCATGTGATGTTAAGGTATATGAAAGATTCAACTGACACAGTTAGACCCTAGACTGCCCTCATTTTCTTGTTCATTAGTCACACTTGATCTTTGTCTAGGAGGTAGTGCTCATCATTTAATTTCTCTAGGACTCATTTCCTCATTTGTAAGATGACACTGGACCAGATGATCTGAAATGGTTCCCTCAGTGCTTATTTTCTAACTCACAACAGAGCAAAGGTACAGAGGCCTGGAAACAGGGCCTGTTTAATGACAGTGGGGTAGACCAGTTGGCTGGCAATGCAATGGTACTGCATAAGGTTAATGAGGAAGTTGGAGTTTGGAGGCCCTTGAATGCAGGCAGCACCTGCAAACCATTGAAAGTTTATGACCATGACAGTGACATGATCAAGGTTGTGTTTAGGGAAAGTAGTGGGGATAGTCTGGAAGAGGATAAGACTGAAGATGAGAGTACCACTCAGGGGACTAATACCATAACAAAAGGTGGGCCTGAAGGAGTTGGGTATTGTTTCAAAATTACCAAGTATTTATTAAGTGCCTACTATGTACTAGGCACTGTTCTACTTGCTTGAATGCATCAGTGAACCAATCAGGTAAATTGTATCTGAAAAGTGACAAATGCTTTGAGAAAAATACACAGTGGAAGTGAAAAGACAGATGTGCTTCCAGGGACAGCCTGGGAGAAATGGCAAAGACACAGAGTGGCCACAACTTGCAACTGACTGGCAGACAGAGGCATGAATTGTGAGCCAAGTGCAGCAGGCTGGGTGATGGCATTAGTAGGAACAGCAGAGTCAAGAGGAGGGAGGCCATTGAGGAGGGCTCTGTAAACCTAGGAATCAAGCAATGACTCGACTAAAGGAAGGATCCCTTCTTCATGTAGATCAACCAGCAAGTGCTCAATCTGTCCAGGAAAACACTGCCTAGATGAGAGACTACACTAAGACACATCCAATCCACACCTACCCTCACAGTTTTTAAATTTTATTTTTAAACTAGAGGCCTCAGTGCATGAATTTATGCACGGATACGGTTCCTTGGGGTGGCCTGAGGGGATTGGGCCCCAGCACATGCCCCCAGCCCCGCAGCCCCGCAGCCATACCTGGCACCACCCCCTCACCTGCTCCACCATCCTGCCGCGGTCTGGCTCTCCTCGGGGGCCCATCAAAGCCAGCAGTGCCTCTACTGCCGCCGCCAAGTCACCAACACCCGCCATGTTGCTCACCGCCCCCCGGTGGTCAGTGCATGTCATAGTGAGCAGTCGAACTCCCAGTCAAACAATTTTCATATTAGGCTTTTATTATATAGGAGGATATGTTTTTATTGATTTTAGAGAGAGAGAGGAAGGGAGAGATAGAAACAGTGATGACAGTATTGGTTGCCTCCTGCATGGCACTGGGGATTGAACTCACAATCTGAGCATGTGCCCTGACTGGGAATTGAACTGGCCACCTTTCAGTGCATGGGACAAACACTCAACCAACTGAGCCACACTGGCCAGGGCCCCTTGCCCAACCATTTAACACTCCTGTGTAGACATTGAGACTTCAAGCTAGTTTGCTTCTCTTACAGACCACTGGAGGGGGGAAGTGTGGACAAAGGGAAACTGTGGATATTGTTTCAATATTAACAAGTAGGTATTAGGTGCCTACTATGTGCTAGGCACTGTTCTACTTGCTTAGATACATCAGGGAACTGATCAGGCAAATTATATCTTAAAAGGTGACAAATGCTTTGAGAAAAATAAAGCTGGACTGACTTGGAGGAAGCCCCTGAGGGAGCCTTCGAGGTGCTGTAGGAGTTCTCTCTCTTGACTTGGGTGGTGCTTCTGTGAGACTATACACATATAAGAGGATTCATCAACCTGTACCCTTGAGATTTCTAGACTATAAAATAAGAAAAATAGAGCAGGGTTAAAAAAGGGATGGGAGAATGAGTTGCCATTTTTTAAAAAAATGTTTTTATTGATTTTGGAGAGAGAGGGATGGAGAGAGAGAGAGAGAGAGAGAGAGAGAGAGAGAGAGAAGCATTGATCACTTTCCTCCCATAGGCACCCATTCTGGGGACTGAACCCACAACCTGGGCATGTGTCCTGACCAGGAATCGAACTGGTGACCTTTCAGTGTATAGGACAATGCTCAACCAACTGAGCCACACAGTCCAGAGCTTGAATTGCAATTTTAAATTATGTGGTCTGAGAAGTCTTCATGAAAATTTTCATTTGAAAAAGATTTGCAAGAAAGTTAAGGGGTTTCGCCCTCGGTGAGAGAAATTCTTTGCAACCCCATCTCACCGGAAAAGAGCATGTTCAAACCTTGTCCTGGCAAGTTTCCCTCACCTAAGCCTCTGTACCTTCTTGGTCGTTGAAAAGAGACTCTCAGAGCATGTCAGGTGATGTTGCTGATAAAAGAAATAGTTTACCTGGAAGTTCTGACCCTTGTCCTTTCTGAAAGAACTGTGCCAAATTTCAGGGTGACTTGTCAGGTCAATCATTGAACGTGCTTCATGCATGCAGCAAAGATTGATATTGAAATGCATCTGACATGAGTCACTGGAGAGATGGCTGCTTTGCCCAGGCTGCAGCCCTGATCCCACCAGCCCCAGATACTCTGTCTGCATTCCCAGATGGGACTGTTTTGGTTTTGTTTAGAAGACACTGCTGGAGGAAATAATTAAACTTAACAGAAACAGTCATTTCTAAAAGGGTGACAGTGTGCCCTGGCCAGTGTGGCTGAGTTGTTGGTGTCATCCTGTGCACTGAAAGGTTGCTGGTTTGATTCCTGGTCAGGGAACGTGCCCCAGTTGTAGCCTTGATCCCCAGTGGGTGCATGCAGGAGGATTGATGTTTTTCCCTGCCCCTTCCTCTACCTCTAAACACACACACACACACACACACACACACACACACACACACACACACAGTGATAATGCTTGCTTTTCAGCTTTTGTAGTTTGTCATTTCCTCTGTTTTTTTTGTTTGTTTGTTTTTGTTTTTCCTTTTTTGGCAACACGCCTGTGCATTTCCATGATAGGGGTAGAAAAGCTGGGGAGTTTGCCAAGAGAACTAGCTCAATTTTACTGAAAATTCATTTTCTAGAATTGTCTGCAAGATAAGAGCTAAGGGATAAAAGATATGTTTAAAGGGAGGTGATACTGCCTGTATTCAGATCTTTGCTAAAGTCACTGGTCATTTAAGCTAAAGCATTTAATGCCAATGGAAAGGTAGTCACGCCTCACCAGGTGTTATTGTAACCCCTGTTTGGCAGTCAAGATTAACTCAGTTGGAAGGTGAATTCTGCACAGCCATTGTCTAGACTAGCTCCAGACCTGTAAACATGATAAGGCGGCACCTCTTACATGAGCCTGTCTTTGCCTAAGTAAAATTAGAAGCTTCCACTAGTCTGCCCCACTTTCTTTTAAGTGGTATTTAAAATAGATACAGATGATATATTGTCTCTGCACAAATAATTTTCCAAATTCCTTCAGACTTATATATGTTTGTATAAGTAAAACATATTTGTGTGATGTTTATAGGATGTCTCTATTTGTATAACATATAAGTATGTGTGTATGTTAAAATATTTATATATTATAGATACATAGTGAGATAGCTAACATGAATGGTCATCTCTCCCAATTAAAGAAAAGAAAATCCTATATAATAAAAGCCTAATATGCACATTGTCTCCTCTACCTGGAGTTCGACCTGGAGTTTGACCAGGGGGCGGGGCCAGCCATCCAACCGCAGGAAAGGAGACCCCGGCCAGCGGCAGGCAGCCAGGGGAAGGGAGGCCCTGGCCAGCAGCCAGCAGCTGCTAGGGACACTACCCCTGCATGAATTTCATGCACTGGGCCTCTAGCTAAATGCATTAAAAAATGAGAAACAATTTTTCACTTGTCACA